TCACCCCGCTGTGCGTGGGGCAGACTGGGCACTTCCCTCAGTGTCTCCAGTGCTGTCCCAATAGTGCTATGGGTCATTGAGGAAACATCGTGTCTTGTGGTAGGGCTGACTCTACAGTCCGTTCTGTGCATTGGCTGCTCTGAGCAGGGATGTCGTCCCGGGGCTTGGCGGGCCATGACCAGGCCCACTCTCTCTCTCTCTCTCTTTCCCTCTTAATTTGCACCTGTGTGGTCTGGACAGACCCGCCACTCTCCCCAGGCTATATCTTCAGTGCTGTCCTCTTTATTAGAGACTGTAACTCTTTACAGGCGTAAGAAGCCTCGTCTTTCTCCCAAGGAGCTAGCTGGTGGCGTTGAACTGCTGACCTTGCAGTTAGCGGCCCAATGGGTAACCACCATGTCATCAGGGCCCTTCTAGACCTCCCCTTCTCACCCATGGAGGAGGTGGCCCTTGAAGACTGGTGAGACTCTGAAGAGGTGTAGAAAAGGGAGGACCCACCCTGTAGAAAGGTGACAGGGTCATTCTGGACAGACTGTCCTGGCTGCTGTGTGAAGGATGGTGGCTTTGGCAGAGACTGGAGGTAGAGAGACCAGGGAGGCGGTTGAGGCATGATCCAGGAAATGGCACTGGGGACACAAGAGGTCTGAAGGGATTCAGGAAGGATGAACAAGACTTGCAGAGGGCAGGAAAGAACAGGAAGTGTCAGAGGTGGGCTGGGAACAAGCTAGGGCCCTTAGCAGGAAGCTGAAGATGGTTGAACATCTTGGCAGAAAGACCATCTTGGTCCCTCAAATCAAAACTCAGCCTTGATGGGGTTTTTACCACCACTGAGCTTTGAGTGTGGAAATGAAGGGAGCCAGCTCTGTGTGTGGGAAGCCCTGCCTCACCTCTTCTGGGTGCTTCTGGGATTCCCCAGACACAAGAAGGCTACCGGAAAATGAGCTGTCTCCCAAATCAACTTCCCAATCCTTATCCTTGCTCAGCAACATGCATCGCATGCTATGGATTGGCAGATGCCCCTCCTCTCTTGTTTATTTTTGAGGTGTAACATACATCAAATAATAAAGTCCTCTAACTCTGAGCCCTGACAGTGTAATGGTTGCACATTGGGCTGCAATCTGCAAGGCCAGCAGTTCAAAACCACCAGCTACTCTTTGGGAGACAGACAAGGTTTCTACTCCCTTAAAGAGTTAGTCTCAGAAACTCACAGGGGTAGTTCTACCCTGTCCTATCAGGCTGTTAGGAGTAGGTATCAACTAAATTGTAGTGAGTTTGGGCACCTACACAGTTCTTCACACAGCTGCCAGGACTTCAGTCTTAAAGTTAGGACCTCTGGGGTTCAAGGACAGAAAGGCTGGCAGTTTCAAAGCCACCCAGCGGCTCTGGGAGAGCAAGACCCGGTATTCTCCTCCTATAGATTCTACTCTAGACTACAGCTTAGAAAGTCCCATGTGCTCGGTTGCACAGGGTCATTATAAATCATAGTGTCAATTGGATGGCAGCAGCAAAACCTTAAGATTTGGCTTGACAAATACTCTAGAAAAGTCTTTCCCATCTCTACTGTTCCCCCTAGACGGAAACTGCTTTTTGGATTTCTTTTACGGCACATTAATTTTGCTCTTGAGTTTTATATGACTAGGATCATATTGTATTACATGTGTGTACAGGACGGATTTTTGTTTCTGGAGTCTTTTCATCAACAAATAAGATTCATCCATGGTGTTACACCTAACAGTGCTTTGTTCTTTGATGTATACAGCATACAGTATTCCATTAGGTGAATATACTAGAGTTATTTGTTTTTTATCAATTTTCTTGTTGGACATTGGACTATTTCCTGTTTAAAGTACTATGAATAAAACTGCCTTGAATATTCTTACACAGGATTTTAAAATAGATAGATAGATAGATAGATAGATAGATAGATAGATAGATAGATAGATAGGCATTTGTTTCTCTCGGGTGAATACACGCCCAGGAGTGAAAATTCTTGATCACTTCATAGGCATGTATTTAGATTTAGTAGAAAGTGCCAGTTTTCCGAAGTGGTTGTACCAAGTCACTCTCCCTTCAGCAAAGTACATGGGCTTCGGTAGCTCTCCATCCTTGTCAACATTCTACATCCTCCATCTTCCCACCCCCCCCACCCCCGACCTCCATTCAAGAGTTTTCACTACACATGTTGGATATTCTGTATGGCTGAAGTGGGTGTGTCTAAACTGATGTCTAGCCCCAAAGCAGTAAGATGGCTTGTCGGAGTCTCAGTTCGGGGAGGAATGAGTAGCTTCTTCATAAGGATGTAACCTCAGGATCTAGGATGGTCATATCTTGTGACCATGAGCATAAGGCCAATATAAGCACAGCAGAGCCAAAAAGATGGGAAAATGTAGGTCCTTGATGGCACTGTCAAGTCCCTCAACTGACTTATCATAGAGTCACACTCTCTCCCTCAGGTTACTTAAGGATTTTTTTTTAAACCTACCACTGCCTTGATAATCCACACACCTGATGGCCCCTGGTCTGGCTTGGCCTCCCAAAGCGGTCAGACTTGCTGAGCGTTCCCACCCTCTTGAGACCTCAGGCTCACCAGTCCTAGTAGCTTCCTGGCTCTTGCTTCTCAATCTCGTTTCCTGGCTCCTCCTCCTCCCCCACCACCCCCTTTTCTATCCACCCTCCCTCCCTAAAGATCTTATTCACAGTCATAACAATCTATCAAATATGTGCACTGGTGATGCAGAAATACATATCTCTGGCCCAGACCCTTCTAGCCAATGCCTATTCACCCTCTACCCCTAGGTGCTGTACAGTATTCCAACACAACTTCTCAAAGCTGAACGCTTGCTCTTCCTTCTCAGAATAATAGTTCCTCAGGCTTTACCGTGTTAGTCAAGGGCCCTGTCACCCTGCTCACTGTGGTTGCTGTTGTTGTCAGGTGCCATAGAGACGATTTTCAACTCGTAGCAACCCCCTGGGTCATCACATTATTACCTCGTACACTCTCCAAGAGCAAGCTTTTAATTGGCTCCTCCCACGACCACTCCCAGCTGCCTTCTAGGGACTGCAGCCAGGGGAAACCTTACTCAGTACACCTTGATCTTGTCCTATCAGGTTTTATCTTGTTCCCCAAACCCAGAGAACACCCACTGAATCTCTTGAGCATGCCAAAAAAAACAATCATTTTGACATGGTATAAATCAATGAGCTCAAAGTTCTTGGGGGGAAAGGTCAATGAGAATGTCCCCTTCAGCGTGTGTAGATCTGAGATGGAGGGCATGCTGAAAAATACTAACTTCACCTTGGGCTGTTTTTGCTTAGTACCAGTTGCTGTTATATTGTAGAAATGTGATATCTGGAAACCTGGTGGCACAGCATGTGATAGGGTGGAGTGCTGATCCAAAGATCAGCAGTTCCAAACCACCAGCAGCTCTGCAGGAGGAAGATGAGGGCCCTGCTCAGGTCAATCACTATAGTTTTAGAAACCCAGAGACAGTTCTCTACAGGGTCCTCATGAGTTGGAATCGGCTTAATGCATTGGGCCTTGGGTCCTATAGTGATTTGATGACTGTTTTTCCTTTCCTTTAAAAAAAAAAATCATTTTATTGGGGGCTCGTACAACTCTCATCACAATCCATCAGACGTCCACTGTGTCAAGCACATTTGTACATTTGTTGCCATCATCATTCTCAAAACATTTGCTTTCTACTTGAGCCCTTGATATCAGCTCATTTTCTCCCTCCCTCCCCGCTCCCTCATGAACCCTTGATAATTTATTATTATTTTGTCATATCTTACACTGTTTTTCCTTTTCAACACCACATAGGAAGAGGGCCTATGTCACTTTCTCTTCTATTATCTGCCTTGTGCTCAAGGAATGTGTTTAATTAATATATTAATACATGAACTCGTTTATTTCCCCTAAGTTCTGAGACATTTTCCTAGAACCCGAGTATGTGCAGAGGAAACCTAAAACGAAACCAAATGGCAACAGTGGGTTCCAAGTAGAACTGCCCCTTGGGGGCCAGTTCTGTAATCTTCAGGAAAGCCCAGTTACCACATCTTTCCCCAAGGCCAAGGGCCGCAGCTTCCAACTACGAACTTTCTAGACTGGCCGTTGAGCTCCAAACCATAGCTCCGCCAAACTCAATGCCATTGACTTGATTCTGATTCAGTGCGACATTGTAACTCCCCCGGTGGGTTTCTGACACTGTAACTCCCCCGGTGGTTTCAAGCTGCGGCCTGGCGGTTAGCAAACCAACTCCTAAGCTCTATGCCCCCAGGTAATCCCCCGATTTGTAGCGAGCCTGCAGGACAGACTTCGACTGTCCTGTCTTTCTCCCACAGACCGGGGCCAGGGTTCCAACCGCCAACTTTCCGGTTGCGGCCAAGCGCGCTGAAACTACGGGTCCACGGGTCGGTCGGTGGGTCTGTTTTTAGCGCAGGGAGTAAGTAGGTGGTGAGCAAACCTAGCGGGGGTCAGACCTGGACTCGCGGGTCTCCAGTTCTGCGCCAGAAAGTTTTCTGCCCATGAGCTTTGGCCGCCTGGCGAACGGGCCCGGGCGGAGGTCCTAATATTAAACATCACAAGGTTTTCCCAGAGTACGTGGACCGTGCACGCGAGCCAGAGGGCACGGAGCCACCGAGGCCTAGCCCCGCCGCCCCGTCTCGGAAGGCGTGAAGCTCACAAGCTGCTGCATATGCATGAAAGGACCAGGGCCCAGGGCCCAAAGCTGTGTACGAGGCGCCTGATTAAAAATTCTCCGGGTTTGAAGAGCTCAACCCGTCATAATGTCTCAAAAAATATGTGGTTAGGCCTGAAAGTGTTGTCTGACGGCAAGTATTGTGATGCTACCTGACGAGAGTACCCCACTTTGAGCCGTACAAGCAGGCATCTGCTCTAGACAGCCTAGCCCCAGAAGGGGTCCTCGGCGGGCTCGACTGGAAGACCAAGGGGGCGTCTCCCGGCTTCCTGCGGCGTCGGCGGCGAGCTGAGCTGAGGGGAGCTGCGGCGGAGACGGCGACAGCGGCAGTGGCGCCATGGCAGGGCTCACAGGTACGGTGGCGTCGGCCTGCGGGGGTGGGATAAGAGGCCTTTAAACTAGCCGGGCCGCCATGTTGTCCCTTTGGGGTCACCTTAGGCGTCACCTGGTTCTTTACCGGGGGGTTTTCTTCGGGTACTTTGGGGGCCATCCCTGCCCGGGGACAGGGGATTAGCCAGCTTGTCCCAGCCTAGGCCTTGGGGCCCCTTCCTGACCCGAGGGCGGGTAACCAGACTCCTGGGTTTCCCTCTGGCTTCCAAGGTCAGCGCTCGCCTGTCTTGCTCCGGGATCGGGCAGGTGGAGCCCGGGAGGCCGGGCCGGGGGTCGAGACGACCCCCTCTTCGGCCCGAGGGCCCAAGGCAGGAATCCCGGGGTACGAGAAGCCTATCCTGTGTCTCCACCACTTAGTTGCCTTTTAAGAAATATCACAAGGGGCGTGGGGAGCGAGGGGAGAACTACCTGCGGGCCCGGGCCCCCGCTTTGGGGTTTAGGGTGATAGACGACCGACCAGCCGCGGGCGCATCTTAACACTCTCTAACTTTACATCGAGTCTGGGCACCTGTCCCCTTTCCTCTTATAAATAAGGGGAGTGGCTCTCAAGGGCAGCTGACGGCACAGAATGCCTCACCAATGGCCAGAAAAGGAAGAAGGCGGGGTGAGGGGTGGGGTGGAGGGTGTTGCCTTTTCTGCCCTCTTTCCAAACTTTCCGTTTCCTCCCAGGCCTCTGTGCCCCAACTGCCAGATGTTGGGAGACTGGGGTCTGCCCTGGGGGGAAAAATGTGGCCTTTTTGTTTATAGGTTCGGATCGCATTTTATCCCTTTCAGGGAACCTGTGTGCTGGGAACAGCCTCTGTGTGCCCCGCCCGACATGGCTCAGCCATCCCGACAGCCTTCTGGACGGCAGCACCAAAGCCCGGTCCCCCCCCAAAAAAGTTCCATCTTAAGTGCTTCTGCCAAGGGTTAGCTCTTGTTTGTTTTTGCTTGTTTAAATAAGAAACTGATTAATATACGCATATGTTGAAAGGTTGGAGGGAGGGGGAGGAGGTTGATTGACTTCCAGCGACCCAGTTGGTTCCCTATCTGAGATTGGACCTGCTAGGGTTGCTGTCACAAAGGACTTAGCCTCTTGTCTATAATCTGGTTAAAAGAGGAAACTGGAAATCTGGGTTTGGCTGTCTGCTTGTTGTTCTCCTGTCCTTGAAATATACACATTCCATTTCAAGCCTGTCACTGCGATATACCCAGGACCATGCGCTGGCTGCCTGCCTTTCTGACTTCCTGCTCAGGATCTGAATCCTGCTGGGTATGAGTCCCATGGGAGTGGGGGTGGGGATGACTGAGAGCACTTGGGACCATTCTCACAGAAGAAAGTGACAGCTTGCCTCTGGGGCATATAGAGGACAGTAGGGGAGACCAAGGAAGGGGACTTGCCAGACTAGTGTCTTGGACTTGTATGTACACATGCACACAAGTTTAAAATTTGTTGGGGGAAAACAAAAATTAAAAAAAAAACAAAAAAAAACTCAACTGCCATGGTGTCAATTCTGACTCATAGTGACCCTATGGAGCTGAGTTGAACTGCCTCCGTGGGTTTCAGAGACCAACTCCTTACGGGAGCAATTAAACCTCATCTAGCTATTGAGAAGCAGGTTGTGGTTTCCTACGGCAGACCTTGTGGACCCACTACGCGGGAAGACACTTAACTTCCAGTTCTGAATCTCCTGTAGGCGTCCCAACTCCAGAGTAGATACATTACACTTGAAAATAGATAACTCACAGATGGCTCGCGGCAAACCCCATACCCTTTTCCAACCTGAATGTCTTAAGATGCAGCTCTCTGTACAGTTGAAGTTCAAGAAACTTTCTGTCCTGCCCTGCCCCCAGAACAGACATCCCTTTCTTAAGTGATAATCCACACAAACTGCAGGTGGAGGTGACTGTCATGCCTATGAAAGTCATGGTACCTAAATCCTCTGGACATAACTTCAACTGGTAAAGCTAAGATAGGGCTTTTTTCAATTGCTGGGGCTCCCACAAAACCATTTCAGTCGCTTCCCAACCTCTTTGGCTCTGCCCTTGATCTTATGGGGCCAAAGTTTTGCAGGGTAGAGGCGGGAGGCAGTTTAGGGACAGAGTTGTCAGTGGACATTCAGTGCTGTGGCCCAATGGCTTTACAATAAAACACTAGTCATTTAAAATGCCTCTCATCATTCTCTATCAGAATACAACATAAGCTTTGATGTCATAGCCTACAGAAAAAAATATTCCAGACAAGGTGTGTTTGCAACAGACTTTTAGGCATTGCACAGGGATGAAAAGTGAACACATGCCTTCCTGGTGGGCTGTGTTGGCTGCCATAACTTGGGGTTGGGGCTGGAAAGGAGAAACTGGCAGTAGACATTGTCATATTCAAGTCCACTGGGCAGGCCCCCTGGACAGCCCTTGCCTGGAAATCTATCATCTCCTGGCCAGAACATTGCTGATGGAAGGGTGGAGGAAGCCCCATAGCTGGGCTTTGCCAAGGTCATCTGCTAAGATCACCTCTTGGGAGAGGGATGTGGGAAGTGGAGCAGGCAGACCCTTTCTGTGCTGTTCTTGTCTGCCGCCCTGAACCCAGTCACCTGCTAACTTGGACTGAGGTTAGAACCGCTGGGGTAGTTGGCCAGCAGGCACACCTCTTGAACGCTGTGAGGGATGGGACAACCTTCATGGAGCACACAGGTTGAAACCGGTTTGGGTCAATGGGTTCAATTGCTTAAGCCTCAGGAACTCAGGTTAAGGCTGCCAAGATCTGGACTTCAGACAGGAGGAGGAGGTATGCCACTGCCTGTGGATGAGTCATCTTGGACGAAAGAAGACAGCCTCGCCATTAGCGGCTGGAGTCATCCAACTAAAGAGAAATGGAGTCTCCGATTGTACATCACTAGCCCAGCCCTGAAGGGATCCTGATTGTCACATTGGAGTGGCAGAATGTTTCTAATATGTTGGAGTTTATAGGGATTTTAACCAAACCAAATCCACTGCTACTCAGTTGATTCTGACTCATAGCAACCCACAGGACAAAGTGAAACTGCCCTTTTTGGGTTTCTGAGGCTATAAATCTTTAGGGGACCATAACGTTTCATCTTTCTCCTGTGGATCAGTTCTTGGGTTCAAAATGCTGACCTTTGCAGTTAGCTGCCAAATGCAGAATCCATTCTACCACCAGGGTGATCTTTGATAGAGAGGAACTAAAGCTGGGAAGTGACCTGACCAGATCCCCTGGTTTCATTGAAGGCAGAACCAAGATCAGAATTAAGCCAAGGCCCCTCCATAATTTTCTGACATACCTCTAGTACAGTGGTTCTCAACCTTCGTAATGCCACGACCCTTTAATACAGTTCATGTGGTGGTGACCCCCCCCAACCATAAAATTGTTGCTACTTCATAACTGTAATTTTGCTACTGTTATGAATCGGGCGACCCCTGTAAAAGGGTCATTTGACGCCCCCCAAAAGGGTGGCGGCCCACAGGTTGAGCACCATTGCTTTCTAAGGTGCTGGTTGGGTTGAGAAGTCACGGGGTTTGCTTAAGGGAGAGAAGCATGATCCAGGCTCAAGGGAACAAAATAGTTTGTGTTCCACAAGTGTTTGTGACAGCTGCGACTTGGGGATTTGATGAAATGGCAAGAAGAAAGATTTATGGCTTTTCCTTGGTCTTGGCCCCAGAACAGGTGTGTAGTGACAGGGACACATAAGACCAGAGATGAGGTTGAACAGGCAGCCGGGCCATTGGGTGAGGCAGTCAGCTGACCCCTTGTAAAAGGAACCCTAAATCACTGAGGAGCTGGAGAGAGGTGGAGAGCTGAGCAGCCTGCCCTCCCATGAACATAGCAGGCAAGAGCACTAGGCTAGGGTTCTGGTAAGTGCCCCCAAGAATAAGAGGGCAAGTGTGGGGAAAGAAATCTAGTAATGGGGAAGGAGCACAGGAGAGGGATTCTTGGGGGTAGCTGGTTGGGGCAGATCCTGAGCAGTAACAAAGCTAGGCAGGATGCCCTTGTAGTGATTCAGGTACAGTTTATGGGGCTTATAGTAAGGTCTTGGGGGCGGGAGGGTGCCACACCCTATATCATGCCCTTTATACCTTAGCCACACTAGTGCCCACCTGTTCAATGCTCATTTCCTCAGGGCTGGGGTGAGGCTTTATGCTTTGAAGTATAGATCACCCCCATGTCTGTAATATCCCACTTCTGCCACCTTTCATCTTTCCTGAGGTGACTGCTAAACAAGGCTGCTTATCCCAGAATCGGAAGGATGCACCCACCGTGGAGGAGGAGGAAATGGTCCTTTATCTCAGGACAGTGTTGAGGCAGCACTGGGTGTGTGAGAGCCCCAGTTTTTGTTGTTGCCTTCCCCTCCTTTGCTCCTCTGAGCAGTGTGACAGTGGGTCCATCAGCCCACTCACGTAAGTGTGAGACGCAAAAGAAGTCACCATAGACAAGTTTTTGCTGCGCCTCCACCACCCCACAGGGCCTTGGGACACTGCGAGATGGGGGAGGTTCTGGCTTTTATTTTTTGTAGAGGTGGTCCCTGTCCTCCAGGAGCTTACAATCTAGCCGGGGAGACACAACTAATGCGCGTTTAAACAATCTACATTTAGCGATTACCACACTACTGACCACAGCTGCGTGAGACCAGGGAAAAGCAAGATCAGTGAGGGGCTATGGGCTCGGAGAAGTTTTTTTGTTTTTTAGTAAAGCTGGGATTAGTTTGTTGAGTAGGTCCAAATCAGGTGATACATTTCTTTGGGGGGCGGGGAGGCTTAGGAGGGGGTGAAGTAGGGCGCAGAGGGAATAGGGAATAGAGGGAGCAAAGGCAATAAGGCTTAATGCGCATGCCGTAGGCAAAGACCAGCCAGAGGACCCCTTTCTCAACCTAGCTCAATCCACCCTTCACAGTACCCTCCAGTCCCGCCACGCGGGCACGCAGGGCACGCAGAGGGAGCCTTCTCAGCATGGCGATTCAGGTCTTCGCTGGTGATGTCGGAATGTTCATTCTGCTGGCTGGTGTGTGTTTGGATCTCCGTGGTGGGGCCTCCTGGCATGGCCGTGGCCGCGGGGCTTGGTGGTTCTGTCCCGACTTGATCCAGATCAGAATGCTGTGCCTAGGCCCAGATCTCTAGGGTCTGCTCCCCCACCCCCATCCTCCCGCTGCCCCACCCCTTAGTGGGAAGGGTACAAGGGGCTTCGGAAAGGGTCTGGTATCTTCATCATTGCCGGTGCTGCTTCTCCGGGGGCCTAAAGGCCCCTCACTGGCCTTGGCATGTGCTCCTCTGGCGAGAGAGCACAGGGGACCCCCCATTCCTGCGCGGCATTGGTTCCCATGCTGGCATAGATGCACAGGAGCACCTGGTGACACGGCCGCCCAGGGCTGGGGGCTGGGGCCTCAGTTCGGGGCCCGCTGCCGGCGCTCCCCCATCACCTGCCGCCCGGTTCTGGTCACCGTGTACGCGAGCTTCTGCAGGGAGTACCTGAACACCTGCGTGAGAGATCCAGGACCCGCCCTTAGTGGAGAGCACCAGTGGCATTTTCTGGCGCTGCCATGCCCGCCCCCCGCTCCGCCCCGCCCCGCCCCGTGCCCCACCCGCCTGTCCGAAGTAGGCCGGAGAGGCGGGCACGGGCGCAGCTCGCCCACGAGTCAGGGCAGTTGGAGGTTTTCCAACTGTGCTGAGGGCTGCGTGGCTGCAAGCCGATTGGACCCACAACTTAGGTATACCTCACTTCTCGCAATGGGCTGTGTCCCTGGAGGATTTCGAAAAGCGAATCCTACCCAGTAAATGCAGCATTCCAGGAACACCTTGAAGGAAATAGCGATTCCTGTGGCAAAGGGTTCCTTTAGCAGGGCATTCTCCCTGCAAAGGGTTCTTGTAGGGTGCATAATTTACCTTTTCTCTGATTTCCTTCGTTCTGACACACAGCACGTTGCGTCTTATTTTGTTGTAAAGTGCTTTTTCTTTTTTTGGAAGCACTCCATTTTTCCCCCCTTTTCCTCAATCTTGTGGTTTGTGTGGTTTTTTTTTAAGCGCCTTTGTCCGATTTGGATTTTTTCTGTTAGCTCCCTTTTTTGTCTAATTTTTTGTGTGCAGTCCTTTTGTAATTCAATGTATTTTGCCCTATTTTCCTGCAATGCGCGTCTTTGTCTCACTTTTTCCTACGAGGCACTTTTTCTAATTCGTCCCTCTTCCAAAAGTGCTTAAAAATTTCTGATAAGTGCCTTTTTCTAACTTTTTCTTTTTACTCTAGTCAAGAGCTCTAGTTTTCGAAAAATTCCCTGCAATGCGTAATTTTTTACAGGAGAAAATGTTCGCTAATTGAGTTGCAAAGTCCTTTCGCAAACGGAGCGTCCCGCCTCCCTCCTGGGGTCGAGTCTGTCTGGGTGTAGCGGGTTTTCTTACCGCGTTGGTCGCTAAGAGCCTCGGCGATCATCCGCGGCGGGCGCCCGCCG